TCTCTCCTGCTGCTGCTCCTGCCGCTCCCGGGGCTGCTCGCGGGCTCCTGGGACCCGGCCGGCTACCTGCTCTACTGCCCATGCATGGGTAAGGCCGCCCGAGCCCTCTGCTCATGGGGGAAACTGAGGCCCGAGAGGCGAAGCCACGCCTCTAAGCCTCTCCCCGGACAGGTCCGGGAGAGCGCCCAGCCGGGGGCACGGAGGGGCCTCTGGGTCCCACCCCCTATTTGGCAGCAGATGAGAACACTGAGGCCAGGAGAGGTTGCATGTCTTGCGCAAGGTCTAAGCTCGCCTGGAGTCCAGTGAACGGAGTTCGTGGGCCAGGACCTGATGCCACTGGCTTCATCCACAAGGACTCTGGGCGATTCTCTCATTCATTCGACAAATATTTACCGGGCGCTTTCTCTGTGCCCAGCCCTGTGCTCTGCTCTAGGGATATGGCAGTGATAAGACAGACAACCCCATGGCCTTGTAGAGCTTCCATTTTAGTTGGGAAAGACAGTCAATAAAAGATAAACATTTAAAAAAATTAAGTAATTACATATTACTTAGGGAAAATAATGTAGAGAAAGGTAAGGAAGAATCTCATGGCCAGCTGAGGGATGCAGTTTAAATGGGGTGGTGGGCCATCACGGTAAAAGTCATCCTTCCTAATCCTCCAGACCCCTCACCATGGTCATTTGGACCTCTGCCCATCTTCATCACACCCTTCTCCTTTCCCAGGTCCTCCACCTGCACACTCACCCCTCTCTATTCCTCACACACAGGCAGGTCTTGCAGCCTGTGCTGTTCCCTACACCTGGAACACCCTCCTCTTCACTTCTGCCAGACCAACCCCTTCCCATCCTCAGATCACAGTTTAAATGACACCAGAAAGGACTTCACTGACCTCAGCCGAAATAATCTCCTCCTTACTGTTCATCACCAAGTTTTTTCCCATTCCTTCTTGAAATTATAAAAGTTTATCACTGTATATTTATTTACACGTCTCATGTCTCCCTACTGGACTGTGAGTACCTTAAGGGCAGAGACCTTGCCCTTCCTACTCACTCCTGTATTCTAGCACCTAGCAGAGAGCCTGGCACATTGTAGCTTCTCAGTATTTGTGGAATGAATGAATGGATGCCATGCTAGGGATAACAAAAAAAAATCAGAGAGGGTCCTTGCCCCAAGGCATTCACAGGCTGAGGAAACAGCCACTATAAAGGTCAGAAAGTGGGAAAGGACCTTCTAGGACAGTGGTTCTCAACCTTCCTAATGCCGCGACCCTTAAATACAGTTCCTCATGTTGTGGTGACCCCCAACCATAAAATTATTTTCGTTGCTACTTCATAACTGTCATTTTGCTACTGTTATGAATTGTAATGTAAATATCTGATATGCAGGATGTATTTTCATTGTTACAAATTGAACACAATTAAAGCATAGTGATTAATCACAAAAACAATATGTAATTATATATGTGTTTTCCGATGGTCTTCGGAAACCCCTGTGAAAGGGTCGTTTGACCCCCAAAGGGGTCTCGACCCACAGGTTGAGAACCACTGTTCTAGGATAAGTGAAGAATTGGTAACTCAAATCCAAGATGGGAAGCAGAGGAGGGGGCTGAGTAATGACAGCGGGTAGGTGAAAGGATCCCAGTGAATGAAGCACTGGAGTTGCCCCTTCTTTCGTTGGTGAGTAGAGATAGAGGTGGAAAGGCAATCTTGGAGGGAACAGCAAAAAACAGAGGCTTGGGTTGAGGATGTGTAGAGTAGAGTGTAGAGCATGTTTGGGAAACAGAAGGGAACTTGGAATGGCTGAGGCAGAAGGGACAGGGCCTGAAGGGCCTTGACTGTTAGGAATCTAGACTTGATCCCACACTCCCAGCTCCCCTGGCCTTCCCCAACCCTGGCTCTGCATCCTTTGTGCGCCCTGCATTCCCCATGCCCTCTGCCCCAGGCCTCACCTCTCGCGATATACCATCCAGGGCGCTTCGGGAACCAGGCTGATCACTTCTTGGGCTCCCTGGCATTTGCAAAGCTATTGAACCGCACCCTGGCTGTACCCCCTTGGATTGAGTACCAACATCACAAGCCTCCATTTACCAATGTGAGTACCTCCCTCTGACCTTGGCCCTTGTCCCCCCTTTCCCAATCCCGTTCACCTCTGCTCAATCCCCAAGTCCTCTGGGCTTTACCTCCCACCCCTCTGTGCTTGCCCTACCGCCACCCAGAACTGTCTTCCCTGGAATAAAATAACTAATGTTTATCCTGCACCTGCTGTTTGCCAGGTACTGTTCTGAGCACTGCATGAAGATTAGCTCTTTTCTCCTTCATCACATCCCTATGAGGAAACTGACTTACATTAGGTGAATTGCCCGAGGTGACACAAGTGAATAGTAGAGCTGGAATTCTCAGGTATTTGATTCTAGAGCAGCCGTGGGCAAACTACGGCCCGCGGGCCGGATCCAGCCCGTTTGAAATGAATAAAACTAAAAAAAAAAAAAACCATATCCTTTTATGTAATGATGTTTACTTTGAATTTATATTAGTTCACACAAACACCCCATCCATGCTTTTGTTCCGGCCCTCCGGTCCAGTTTAAGAACCCATTGTGGCCCTCGAGTCAAAAAGTTTGCCCACCCCTGTTCTAGAGCCTGTGACCTGAACCTAAAGCCCCATTCATTTCCAGACCTTGTTGATCCCACCCTTTGTGCATCCCATTAGTCAAAGATGATGGATGCTGTTATCAGTTTTGAAAGATAAACTGAAGCACAGGTTAGTTAAATAACGTGTCCAAGGCCACAAACCCAGATTCCCAACACCACCTTTCATCCCATCAGGGGATCCCTGAGCTTAGTGATACTCAGCATCCTCTAATTCCTTGCTTATTCTTTGTGTCTTCCACTTGTCCTGTGTCTGTCTTTGTTCACACTGTATCCCCAAGGGTCTGGCAGTAGTAACTGAATTAATATTTAATGAATTGACTTACAAGTTTTCAATAAACTTTAAAAATTATATTTAGTATGTATAAAACATTGTATTTCATTTTTATAGTCTTTTCTTTGCATAGGATTTTTTTCTTTGCATGCCTGTAGTTAGAGAGGTTTTTTAACAAAGGTTAAAAGCCAGAGTACCTGAGATCATAACCTGGCGTGGCCACTTACTGACTGTGTAGACTGGGCAGGGTACTTGATCTCTTTGTGTCATGGCTTCCTCATCTTTAAAATAGGCTGGTAATAATGGTTGCTACCTCTTATTCGAGTTAGTGATTGTGCATGCCCTGAACGTTGTATGTTTCTCTCTTAGAATCAACTGAACGCAACAATATAAAGTGCTTAGAACACAAGAAGTCCTCAGTAACCAGGAGTCATTGACATTCTGACTTTTTTGTACCCACTGGTATAATTTAGACATTGCCCATTCATCCCCCTCTTTTTCTCACCTTGCCTTCTCAGCCGAGTCTTTCGGAGTCTTCACTTCTTGCTTTCTACAGGTTACTTACCCCGTCCCCGTTTGGCTCCCCTTACCTACTGGGACCGTTCTCACAGAGGTCCCGGGACCCCAGAATTGCCAAATCCCGTCTTCATCTCAACTGACCTCCTGGTGGCACCTGGCCTTGTGAGCCTCTCTCCTTCCTGAACTTCCTTACTCCCCTGGCGTGCAAGACACAGCCTGTTCCTGCTTCAATCCTGACCTCTCAGCATTTTTCTCTTTGCACTATATCGGGGGCTGCTCTATCTCTGCCCATTGTTTAAATGTTGGTGAGTCTTCTCTTTCTGTTTTCTTATTAACTGTGTGACCTCAGATGAGTTCACCTGGGTTTCTTCTTAAGTGACCTGGAGATGGTTGTATTCCTCCTCTTAGAATCAGATTGGCAAGTCCATGAAATGTAATGAGTAGAGCACCTGCTGCTAAGTCAGCAGTCAATAAATATTAGTTGCTATTATTACTATTATTTGCTTTGCTATAAATTTCTGTTGACTCTTGGCTTTCACTATTCTCCACGTACCTCCCAAGTTTATCTGTGGCCCAGACTCTCCTCTGACCATCGGCCTCTGTTTCTGACTCCTAGGCCTTTGAGTCTACTTGAATGTTCCACCAATAGCTCAAATTTTCAAAGCCAGAACTTGGCATCTTTCCCCTTAAACTTGTGTTACCTCCTATATTCCAATCCTTAATGTATGTCACCTTCATTCATCTGGATACCAAGCCAGGAATCTACAAGTTATCCTAAATGCCTCCCTTGGCTCTCTACTTCACTTTCTTTTACATCTTCTAGAATTTCCATGCCTCTACATCTTCACTTGGACTTATGTGTGATGCTCAGAAATATATGTTGAATGAATACTTGAACAAACAAAAGGACCATTGTAGTAGCTTCTTGACTCCCCCCTCTAATCTTACCATAGATACGTTCTCTCCTCCACCATCAGAGTGATCTTTCAAAAAGGCAAATCTCATTATTTCTGCTTAAAATCCTCCAGCAAGACCTTGTTGCTAATAGTTAGGGTTCCCAAAATCTGTTCTTTGGAATGCCAATGACTCATACAAGAAGTGTGCAGTGGTTAAATCACTTTGGGAAATTTTATTATCAATTTCCCATCTCCCCAAAATTGGGGATTCAGAATGCACACTAGCATATTAAAGGCCCTGAGAAGTCCTATAGGAAGGAAACCAGCTTAACACAGTATTTCCCAAGCATTTTTAACTCTGGTGTCTTCTTATTGCAGAATCTTTTATCCACCTAAACTAGTGGAACATGCTTGGGAACCCTGACCTATAGGATAAAGTCTAAATTTTATTCCTGGTGTTTTAAGAAATTCTTTCTAATCTAGAAAGAAACAGAGATTAATATCACCATCTGTGTATCCACCACTAGAAGTGATCATTAACAGTTTCTCATCTTTGCTACAGATACAGTTGTTAAAAGATACCATCTCTCTTGGCTCCTGAGGCTAATCCCAATCCCTCCCTTCACCCCTAAGGCAACCACTATCTTGGATTTAGTGTCTTTGGTGTGACTCTTCCAAGTTCTTTCTTATATTTGAGAGTCCTTGTAACCATCTCCTAGGGGTGCAAAGTGCAAGAATTTCTTTAGGGCAAATACCTTGAGGTGGTGGAAGGAGCAATTTAAACTCTATTAGATGCTTCAAGATTACATTCCAAAGTGGTTGTTCCAAAATGTACACTTCTACTCCAGCCAAGTGCGGAAAATGCCCCTTCCCTCACATCTCTTCCAATAATTAGAGTTAAGCTTTTACATTTTTCCTAATCTCATGGGTGAGAAGTAATGCCTTACTTATCATTGTAATTTGCTTTTTCCTAATTACTAATTGCGCATCTTTTGAGTGTATTGACTATTTGGGTTTTCTTTGCTGTGAGTGTTCACTCCTATTCTCTGCCCATGTTTTCTCTCGCATCATTTCTCTTTTTTCTTAGAGATCAGTAGGCATTTTCTAACCCAAGGGAAATTACTCTTTGTTCTTTACAGATATCTTTATCCTGCCCTTCTCTTTCCCCCTTTTTCTATAGATCCATGTGTCCTTCGAGAAGTACTTCAAGCTGGCGCCCCTCAAGGCTTACCATCGGGTCATCAGCCTGGAGGAGTTCATGGAGAAGCTGGCCCCCACCCACTGGCCCCCTGAGAAGCGGGTAGCATACTGCTTTGAAGTGGCGGCCCAGAGAAGCCCTGATAAGAAGACATGCCCGATGAAGGTGAGTCCTGGGGACCTGGGATCCCTTTCTGCCTGATCGATGTTCTCTTGGCCCATGAGACGCTGCGTGATGGCTCTATGTTGGGGAAGGCACCAGAAGGGCATAAGATAGAAAGATGGAAATTTAAGTCATTTATGGCATATGTCAGTAGTGTCACTTTGGGCAGCGGACTTTGCTTCCTCTGAGCTCTGAGCCTTTATTTCTACCTGTAAAACAAAGATGACAGTCCTTCCTCTGTCTCACTCATACAGTATCATGAGAGCCAGGGTGTAAGAGTGCTTGTAAACTGTAAAGTGCCACATCAGTAGTAACAACTAATGCTCACATAGCACTTACTATATGCTGTGCCATGCTAAGAGCTTTACACATATTAACCCACTTAATCTTCAAAGTGCTCCATGAGGAAAGTACTATTAACATCCCCATTTTATAGAGACGACACTGAGTGCTACAGAGAGAGTCAATATTTTGACCAAGGTCACATAGTAAACAAGTGGTGGAGCCACGATTCAACCCTAGGTAATTTGACTCCATTTCCCACTCTCCTAAGTTGTGTACTTTCCTGTCTTCAGCAGGTCAATGAGACGCTGTTATATGTTATCAGTACAAATTGTAAACTTCTGGCACCTTGGGAATAAAACAATCCTCAATATGCCTTTCAGTGCTTAACCTAAAGTCTGGGGAGGGTGGTTAGCGGAGCCTTGAAATGTGAGAAAGGAGATGGATTATAGTCCTAACACTGCCCTCACTTGCTGTATGAGTTTGGGCAAGTGTCTTATCCTGTCTGGGCCCCAGTTTCCATATTGAAAGTAGCAGCATTGGATTAGCTGATCTTAAAAGTCTCTTGAAGCTCTAATTCATGGTCCCATATCCACGGTCCACTTCCTCCCCAGACCCACATCAATGCTGCAGGGTCAGCGGATGTGGCATGTGAGCGGGAAAGACTCCTTCAGACACTGGTGAACCTCTCCTGCTGGAAACCAGGCTGAAGGTGGAACTGCCCTCCGCGGGCCCCAGGCCAGGAATTACAAACTGACATTCCTATGGGCCATCCTGTGAGGGTGTTGCAGATGGAGTAAAATCGCCCAGAGTTCCCCAGCCACAATTCCTTGGCCCCATCCCCAGTTGGCTTTCCTTCCCCCTCAGTAAGCCTTTGACCACTCTCTTTCTGCAGGAAGGAAACCCCTTTGGCCCATTTTGGGATCATTTTCATGTGAGTTTCAACAAGTCGGAGCTTTTCTCGGGCATTTCCTACAGTGCCTCCTACAAAGACCAGTGGATCCAGAGGTACTTGGAGGGGGCGGCATTGCTGGGTTTGGGGAGAGGTATGGAGCCCCTGGGCATTCAGCACCTTCCTGGCCCTCTCCCCCTCTACCACACCCTGATATATGGGACCAAAGGTGCAGCTGTTCTGTCTGCTGAACTTGGGATCCTGTGTGATCTGTTCCCATCTCAATGCCTGACACCGTGGAACGTTGACCTGCCACGAGGTTGGGCAAGAGTTTATCAGCCGATAAAGAATGTCATAAAAAGAATATTGTGCAGTCACATGAGTCTTGATTTCCTCCTGTAGGCGTGAGAATCACTCCCCTGTTACCTTCTTCTTAACAAGGTGAAAATTGGAAGCAGCTTCTAGAGAAGAACAACTTTAGGTGCAGACTGAGGAGTGATGTCATCCTGATAATAATTGGATGTGCTTTATTAGTTGCCCTCCAGTAGGTCCTATTTTTAAAAAATAGGTTAGCAGGGCATAGGCACAGGCCGTGAGGTATTTATAGAGCGTCTGTCATGTATGAGACATAGTACTCAAGGGCCAGAGGTGACATATAAAAAGGAGGAAGACCCAGCCTCAGCCTTCAGCTAGCTACTGTCTAGTTATAATGATAACTAACATAGTGTACTTGCCCTTGATGCTATGGTGTGGCAAGAAAGCGTGGGCTTAGAAGTCAGACTTGGGTGAGGAGCTATAAGAAGCTTATGGATTCATGCGTGGTCACAGCACTTGGCACTTAGTGAGCTAAGGGTAGACTGACGTAGAGAAACAAGCATAGGCTCAGGATAAGACGGGCCTGAGTTCCGACCCAGCCCTGCCTCTTTCTCAAGTGATTGAGCAAATCACTGTAGCTGTCTCGCCTGTATTTCCTCCTTGGTTTAATGGAAGGAGCACGATGGTATTTGCCTCCTAGTGTATAGAGTGTATGGCACCTTGTAGACGAGTCAAAAAGTTTGCCCACCCCTGGTATAGAGTGTATGGCACCTTGTAGTGGGCCAACCAGTGTTAGCTATTACAATTATTATTCACAAGTTTTATCTTATTTAAGCCTTTGAGAAATTTCATGAAGTGGTATTATGGTCAGTTTTCATTTGACAGGTGAGAAAACAGCCCAGGGAGGTTAAATAACTTGCCCAAGGTAATGCAGCTGTTGAGTGGACATACAGTCTGTATGTAAGCCTTTAATAGGTAATAAGAACTAATATTTATTTGGTGCCCACTATATGCCAGATACTGTTCTAAGTCTTCGAAGGTAATAATTCACTTAATCCTTCCACAAGCCTCTTGGGACAGGTGTTATTGTCATGTGTGCTTTGCAGGTAAGGAAATTGTAGAAGAGAGGAGTCAAGTCACTTGCCCACGATCACTCAGCCTGAAGTGACAGTCTGGGATTTGAACGCAGGCAGCCTGACTCCAGAGCACCCCCATACTTAATCACCGTGGGGAAAACAGCTATGCCTTTAACAGCTGCCGATTCCTATTTGGAACTTACCTTCAGAGCTAGTTCCTGAGCTGCTCAGTTATGGCAAATTCTAATCCCCCTCATTGTTAATCCCAGGTAGTGCAGTCCCATTTAATCACCTACTTGGTTCTCCCCATTCAGCTCTGAAGAACTTGGAGCTATTACCAGAAGGCAGACCTGCCCTGAATGCATAGAGATTTGCCCCTTATCACAAAATGCCAGGAAGAAAGAAAATATGACACCAGCTCTAAAAGCAGCTCCAGCAGCAGATTCCAGAAAGCCAGAAAAAGCACACAGTCCTGGTTGGAAAAGAAGGGACAGTGCTGCATGGATGCATCAGTCGAGGAATGTTGCTGAAACACCTTTTTATTGCCCCACAGTCTTGTTGTAGTTCACTGAGTTGTAGGAATTGTGTGAGGGCTTGAGGAAGCCAGATTTTTAGGAAAAGAAGTCTAAGAGAGAAGATGAGGTCCCTGGAGGCAATTTGAGAGAGTTAGGGCCACCTGGGCAGCTGCCTTTCTTTATGCCTTCCTCCCACACATTTAAGAAGCACCTCCTGAGTGTCAAGCACTGGTATGGATGCTGGGCATTCAGGCAAGAATAAGGCAGTTAAGGCCCTTGCCCTGATGGAGGTGAGTCTAATGGGGGAGACAGTGAATACTTTTACATAAGATCGTTCCAAAAGACGTGGTGCTATGAAGGACAAACGGGATGTGTGATTGGCAGGGCTGAGACCTTGTCTTCATCAGCTCGGGTTGCTCTAACAAAATACCACAAACTGGGGGGCTTAACCAGCAGACATTTATTTCTCATAGTTCTGGAGGCTGGGAAGTCTGAGATCAGGGTGCCAATATGGTTGAGTTCTGGTGAGGACTTCGTGGCTTGCAGGCACTGCCTTCTTGCTGTCTCCAAACATGTTGGAGAGAGAGCAAGCTCTCTGTCTCTTATAAGAGCACAGATTCCATCATGAGGACTCCACCCTCATGAGCTCATCCAAAACCTAACCATCTCCCAAAGGCTGGGGCAGTCAGCTGGCGTTGATACACTTGACCTCTCCATGTGGCTTGGACTCTGAGAGCATGGCATGGTGGCCGGGTTCTGCGAGGGTGCAACCCAGGAGTGAGTGTTCCAAGGGTCAATTCCACCAAAAGGTGGAAGCTGCCTGGCCAGAATGGCTGTTAGTTAAGTGTCATCCCAAGCACCAAAAGGTTGCCAGTTCGATTCCCGATCAAGGGCACATACCTGAATTGCCGGTTTGATTCCCCAGTCAGAGAGCCTACAGAAGGCAGCCAAATGATGTTTCTCACATTGATGTAGTTCCACCACCCCCCTCCTCCATCCTTCCTTTCCTCCCTTCCTGTCTCTAAAAATATCAATTTAAAAATTTTTAAATAAAATAAAATAGTGGACACTTGTTCGCTGTAGAAAATTGTCCTTTGGGGGTAAGGATATGGGTTCCCTGGCTCACTGTGTGACTCAGCAGATTGTTTCCCTTCTCTGGCTGCAGTCCTCCATCTGTAAAATGAAGGGGTGAGCAAGGTCAGTGGTTTTTCAAACTATTCCTTGGAGTTCTTCAGAAGTGCCCTAGTGCCATGGGAGCGGCAATGGGGACCTAGTTGGAGGGGCTCAGTTCTTCCCCTGACCTCCTTCAACCAGTAACCCTCTTGTATATCACCCAAAAGTTTGGATGGCCACAGGTCTAAGTCTTTCAGGCTACATGTAACAAAATCCAAAATAACAGCAAGTTTAAAAGATAGTTCATTTTCTCGTTTTTTTAATTTACTGATTTGAGAGAGAGAAAACATCCATTTGTTGTTCCACTTATTTATGCATTCATTGTTTGACTCTTTTATATGCCCTGGCCCAGGATTGAACCCACAACCTTTGCATATCAGGACGACGCTCTAACCAACTGAACTTTCCAGCCAGGGCAAAGTTTATTACTTTCTTCGGTAAAAGTACTGGGATAGTCTTGGCAAGTGTGGCTCAGTTGGTTGCGTGTCATCCCATGGCACCAGGAGGTTGCCAGTTTGATTCCTGGCCGGGACCCGTGCCAGGGTTGTAGGCCCAATCCCCCAGTGGGAAGCATGTGGGAGGCAGCTGATCAATGTTTCTCTTTCATCAGTGTTTCTCTCCCTCTTTCTCTAAAATCAAAAGAAACATTTTTTTTTCTTGAGTCCTGGGGTATGCAGCCCTGGCTGGATGGCAGCTCCATTGTGTCATCAGGAATTAGGCTCCATTTCTCTACTCGGCCATCCCAGCACTGGCTTTTATCCTTAGTGTCACCTCTTGGGCTAAGATGACTAACAAAGCTTCAGCCATCACATCCTTGCACTAGTTAGCTGGAAGGACAAAAGGAGCAGAAGAAGGCCCCATCTTCACCTTGAGTACAACTTGCTTGCAACTCACTGGCCAGTAGTTAGGCACATGGCCATACCTAGCTACAGGAAGTACTATGAAGCGTCTTTGTTTTGGGCTGCCATGTGTCCAGGCACAGCTGGGTCCAAACTTTTGGGTAATATACAAGAGGGTTACTGGTTGAAGTTGGGTTCTGGAAGAAGTGGATAAGAGGTATTTCTTCCCCACTATGTGGTTTCTGAGCTCTGCTGGTTCTGAATCTGAATACCCTGGTGTAGATTTAATTCCACAGACATTTTTCACATTTGCTGTTTGTTGTTGGAAGGCTGTGTTCCATCATGCTGGACCATTCTTGTGGCATGACGATAACAGGTATTTGAGCAGGTAGCTCATCATTCTCTCCAGCCACAGCCTCCCTGAGAGAAGATAAACAGGTGACATATAATTGTCAGGGCTGAGACCTGAAAAATGGGAAGGAGCCAGCCATGCTAATAGCTGGAAGAAAAGGGCATTCTTCATAGCAGGGACATTGAGAGCAAGGCTCTGCCTTGTTCGTATCCCTGCATCCTCTGCACTCAGCATGGTGAACATCCACTGGTGCACACACACAGATGCACACGGGGCACATGAGTGGATGCTGTGCATAGAGAAACCCCAGCTTTTTGGGGCTTTCAGTAGAGTAGGCATGGTAGTGAAGAACCCCAGAGGTTCACTGCACCCAGCCAGCAGGAAAGCAAACCTCCTTTAGCCAGACAGTGGCCAGGCTAAGGGCCTGACTTGGGTGAACGGTCAGTGGGCAGATGGAGCTGGTGAAGCTCTTTCCAAGCAACACTCTCCTCCCTCACTGGGAGCAAATGAGCACATCAGTCTTGGTCTCTTGCTGCCTGTCAGGTCAGAGGTGACATCCCACTGGGACAGCTGGGAGCTGTTGAGGGGATGGAATTCACCAAGGGTCAGCAGCAGGGTCTTTCCAAGAGGGCAGGGAGGGTGCAGATCCTGATTTTATCCTCATGTTTCAGCTCTCTGGGAGATCACAAACTTTTGCTTTCCTTTTGAAATCCTTTGAGGTGGCATCTGAAAGGAGATTAGCTGAGAGCCTGGCCCAGAGTAGGTGCTCAGTTCTTATTCACTTCCAACAACGTGATCTGGTCTTTCTGGTGAGATCCCTGAATCCTTCTCATTCATTCATTCATTCTGAAAATAGTTATTGTACCCACTGTGTGTTGAGGCCTGTGCTAGGGGCTGGGAATCAAAAGAATATGCCATAGCCCTAGCCAGTTTTCTCAATGGTTAGAGCATCAGGCCTTGGACTGAAGGGTCTCAGGTTTGATCCCTGGCCCAGGTTGGGGCATGTGTGGGAGGCAACCAATCAATGTGTCTCTCTCACATTGATGTTTCTCTCTGCCTTTCCCCCTCCCTTTCACTCTCTAAAAGTCAATGGAAAAAATATCCTCGGGTTAGGATTAACAACAACAACAAAAAGAATATGCCAAAAACTCAGCTTTTTTTTATTTTCATATTTTTAAATGATTTTTAGAGAGAGAGGAAGGGAAAGGAAGAAGGAAGAAAGATAGAAACATCGCTGAGGGAGAAACATCGATCGACTGCCTCCTGCATGTTCCCTACTGGGGATCGAGCCCACAATCCAGGCATATGCCCTGATTAGGAATGGAACCAGCGACCTCTTGGATCCAGCTCAACCACTAAGCCACGCTGGCTGGGCCAGACTCAGCTTTTGAGGAGCTTGTTGACCAGGGTGGGAGTGAGTTGTAGTAGTTAAGAGTATAGTTTCTGGAGCAGACTGCCTGCATTTAAATTCCAGCTGTGTGACCATGGGCGTGCTATTTAACCTTTCTGTGCCTCAATTTTCTCGTCTGTAAAATAAGAAGAACAATACTACTTACCTCACAGGGCTCATATGAGAATCAAATGAGTTAACATACACAAAGCAGTTGGAATATTGTCAGATAATAAGGCTTAATAAAGGATTCACATGTATGTATGGTCTCCCATTACAGTGGTTTGACTTAGGATTTTCTTACTTTATGATGGTGTGAAAGTGATATGCATAATAAATTACATGAGATATTCAATACTTATTTGACAAGACGAGTGTTATATAGCAGCCAGGCTGTCGATGAACACTTGTGTGTTACTTCCTTAGCATTGGCCCTGGACAAGAGTGTGTGGGAATCATGGTGAATAAGACTGCTGTGCCCCTGCCCTCATGGGCTGATGGTAGAGCAGGTAACATGGTTGTTGAGCACATCAGTGTGCAGAAGGCATCAAAGGAGAAGAGGGAACAGGGAGCCCTCCTGAGGAGCTGAAGCTTGTGAGTGGCAACAAGTCTTGGAAGTTTGGCATTTGAGGTGTTTGGGTTGGACATGAAGGAAGTGGCATGTTCATTGCAGCGCTGTTGTATGAGTGACAGATGGGAGCAACCTCCCTGTCCAGCAGGAGGGGACTGGATGGTACCTCGCAGTTTATTTGTGCAAAATAGAAAACGTCAAGAGAAGCTCACAGGATCACATGATCTACATGATCAATATGGCCAAATCTCTAAAACATAATGTTGAAGTTTGAAAAAGTTGAAATAGGTTACCTGCAATATGGTGATATGATGATGATGATGATAGTCAGAATTTTCTTGCAACTTTCTATATGCCAGGCACTGTTCTAAATGCTTGTATTAATCCATTTAATCTTCTGAACAGCCCTGTGAGGTAGCACCATTATCAGCTCTATTATCAGCTCTAACTTGGTTAAGTCACCTGCTCAAGTTAACAAGTGGCATAGTCAGCATTCTAGAACAAGGCCGTCAGGTTCAACAGCTCATGCTTTTACCATTCCCTTCATAAAAAGCACACAATATAATACCTTTTTATATCATTATACCTTTTTATATCATTAGTAAAAGTGTAATCATACACAAAACCACATTATCTTCTTGGAAGAATAAGAAGGGAAAGATGATAAAATAGAGCTTTTATTTAGGTGTATGTATATTTTTAATCTGAAGTATTAATACCTGCTAATTTGGGTTCTATGTATATGGATTATTTTCTGTATTTTCCTGTATTGTTTGAAATATTTTGTGTGTTTTTTTAGAATATTTTGTAATTTTTAAGTGAAATTTTTATTGAGGTAATTGTAGATTCATATGTAGTTATAAGAAATAATATAGAAGGATCCCATGTACCCTTTGTCCAGTTTCCTCCAAAGGTAACTCTTTCCAGCTCCTGCATGTTCCCTATATTATAGTACAGTATTATAGTACAGTATTATAGGACATTGACACAATCCACCCATCTTACTCAGATTTCTCATTTTGTACTCACTTCTGTGTGTGTGTGTGTGTGTGTGTGTGCACGCCCGCGTGTGTGTATTTAGTTCTATTCAATTTTATCATGCGGGTAGGCTCATGTATCTACCACCACAATCAAGGTATCAAACAGTTCTACATAAGATCATTGTGTGGCCAGTTTATAACAATACCTACCTACCTCCCTAAATATTCATAAACATATGCACACACACCATAGCCCCCGGCAACCACTAATCTAGTTTTATTTCTGTTCTTTTCCCTATTTTGTCATTTTTAAAATGTTATATAAATGGAGTCATACAGTATGTAATCTTTTGGGATTGGCTTTTTTCACACAGCATAATTCCCTTGCGATTCATCCCAGTTGCCTGAAACAATAGTTTGTTCCTTTTTATAGCTATAGTGTTCCATTGGTTGGATGCACCACAGTGTTTTTAAGCGTTCAGTTACTAAACGACATCTGAGTTTCCAGTTTTGGGCTTTTATGAATAAAGCTGCTCTGAACATTCATCTGCTGGTTCCTGTGTGAACATAGGTTTTCATTTCTGGGTTGTATGGTAGTTGCATGTCTAGTTTTATGAGAAACTGCCAAACCATTTTCCAGAGTGCTGTGCCTGTGTCATAATTTTAAGAACAGGGTTTTGGCTAGTGAGGGAAGGTGTGACAGGTGGAAGGAGGAAGTCTGCAGACATCTGGCATTTGAAAGTTTATGGGACAGCAGAGTTCATTTGCTGGGATACGTCTGGGCTTAGTTACGAGGGGAACACAGGTTTGCTCCTCATCCATTCAGTCAGCAAATCTTAGTAGAGCTCTTATGTGTTCCAGATACTGCTCTGAGCACATGGAGGCATTACCTTCAGAAGCGTGAGTCCAGAAAAGATCGGTTGAAGTAATTACAAGGTGCATCGTGTACAGGGGGAGAAGAGCCTTTGAGGGAGGTCTGATGATGGACATCTGTAGAACTCTGATGCTTTCCATGAGGGCAAGGACCATGCCTGTCTTGTTCTCCCCTGGGCTCCAGCACATAGTAGGCAATCAGTAAATATGTGTGAAGTGTTGAGTGAATGAGCTTATTCAGAGTACATATTCCCTGTGAGTGTGGCCTGTGCATTGCCCTCTGGAAGCAGCTGCACAGCCCAATCCCGCCATGTGGGTAAAAGGGCAAGGCTCCGTCCAGACACCACACCCTGGAGTGAATTACCACAGCACAGATTGGAAGCCAGCATGATATACAAAAGATTGGAATGCTCTACTGGAAATTTTTAATTGTTAAACAAGCAAAGAAGGTTGTAAATTCCAGGCGGCGGGACAGTATTGCATTTTGTGCCTGTCGCCGCCGCCGCCACAGTTTCTTATCAGCCCGTTGGGGTTTCACAACCTCTCATGCTTCTTGCATGTTAAAGGCGCCTCTGAACAGAGTCTCTAGGACATGGTGTAACACCATCCTTTTTCCCGTGGGGGTGATAGCCAGGCTCTCTGTGCATTCTGTCTGACTTCCCCTCATTGTGTCTTGGGTCTTAGATTTTCTCCAGAGGAACATCCAGTGCTGGCCCTGCCAGGGGCCCCAGCCCAGTTCCCCGTCCGGGAAGAGCATAGGCCACTGCAGAAGTACATGGTATGGTCAGACGAGATGGTGAAGACAGGAGAGGCCCTGATCCACACCCACCTCATCCAGCCCTATGTCGCTATTCACCTACGCATTGGCTCCGACTGGGTAACTTTCCCTTTCTCTCCTGGATGGGTTGGACATGTCCCTGAGCAGGGCCCATGCCTTGGGGATTGAACACTGAACCCATTGCACCAAGTCCCAGCCAAGACTGTAGAGTCCCCACATGAGAGTTCCCACTATATCTCATGATCCTGCCATAGACACGTCAAACAAAGAGCTTGCTTGTCTAGTTGCATGTCTCCAAAGAGCTTGCTTGCCAGCTTTTGTTCTAAGTTGCCATTTTTATCCTGTTTTTGCAGATGGATAAACTGAAGTATCAAGCTAGACTCTGGATCAGGCAGCAAGCCAGAGAGCTCAGACTCATACTCCAGTAGTCCTCTGTCCCAGCTCAGTGTTTAGTCAATCGTCTACTTGTTAAAAACAAGTTCTGGAGATTGGGTGGGGCTCCCAAGAAATGAAGATGTCATCCTCTGAATTTGGAGGCTGCTTAAATGTGCAGAAGCCTCACGAGATTATCCTCTGTGTGAAAATAACAGAAGTAATATAGTCTCCTTAGTTTATGTAAGCAGATAAATATATGTATATGTGTTAGAAATACTCATTATTAAAGACTTGAAAAATGTAGAAATAGGATCAAAATTCATTCAGAGTCAATTGAGAAGGTAATCACACATTTACCCACTAGACTCCCTTCCTGCCCCGCTTCCACAAAAAAAAGCCAAACCCAGAATACGTTATGAGTAGTTTCAGCCAAACCTTCAAAAACAGATAGTTTTCATTTGTGCTTTCTTAGAACATAAAAAGATAGAAGATGCTATTTTTTATAAAGCTAGCATAGCACTAATACCAAACTCAGATAAGGTCAACTCAGAAAAGTATATAGCCCATTCTCACTCATGAACATAGATGCACAGATCCTAAGTAAGAGATCAGCAAGTAAAATCCATACAAGTAAAATTTATCCTAGGAATGCAATTATATATTAACTATATTAACACCCAATGAAGAAAAATCATATAATCGTCTCAACAGAGGCCAAGAAAGCATTTGAGAAAAGTCAACACTCATTTATGATTTAAAAAAACTCTTAACCAAGCAGGAATAGAAGGGACCCACCTTAACTTGATAAAGGCTATCTCTCTGAAACCCACAGCAAACACGTACTTCATGGGAGCTATCAGAACTGTTCCCACTGAAGTCAGAAATCAGATAAGGCTGCCCATTATCACCACCCTGGTTCAGAATTCGACTGGAAGTCCCAGATAATGCAGTAAAACCAGTAAAAAAAACAACCAACTTTATAAAAAGCCAATATCCCACTCCCCAGAAACAACTGTTACTGTTTTGATGCATTTCCCTCTTCCCTCGATGCTTTAAAAAAAAAAAAAGAAAAAACATAGTTGAGCCTGCCTTTTTCTACTTACCACCTTTGGCTTCTGGGGTTCCAGGCCAGTTGCTGTTTCTAACTCTGTTCCCCCGACCCCACCCCGTAGAAGAATGCCTGTGCCATGCTGAAGGATGGGACTGCGGACTCCCACTTCATGGCCTCTCTGCAATATGTGGGCTATAGCCGCAACTCAGCGACCCCTCTCACCATGACTATGTGCCTCCCAGACCTGAAGGAAATCAAGCGGGCCGTGGAGCTCTGGGTGTGGGCTCAAAATGCCAGGTCTGTCTACATCGCCACAGATTCTGAGAGTTATGTGCCAGAGATCCAGCAGCTCCTCAAAGGGAAGGTATGCGTGGGCCCTGTGGGAGTGCAGTAGGAAGGGAATCTGGGAAAGCGCCCGGGTGTTCCCACTGCTCCCCCTACATCCTTTGTGTCCTCCTGCCACCAGACTTTTGCTTGGACATCCAGGCCACCTCCAATTCCTATCCTTTTTTCAAACCCCAGCTCATACACCTCTACAGATTCTCTCCAGTTTTCCCTTCACTCCTGCAAGTAATGTGTCCTGACTGGGAGTTGTCACAGAACTTCATTAAATCTTCTCTGAGATGCTTTCTACACTGAGTCTAGTGTAGAAACATGCGTTATTTCTTCCCAGGAATTGTGGCTCCTTGAAGGCAGGATCCAAGACTGTCCTGTTCCTTGGCGACTAGCCAGGTGCTTTGACCTCCGATAGGGCTGAGACCCCACCTTGCCATCACCAGTGTCTAGGACAGTGCCTAACACATAGTAGACAGTTGGTAAAGGTTTGCTGAATGAGGATGTAAAGAATGGGCCCCAGTAGAGGTCCAGTGTAGCAGAGGAACTGAGAGCATGGACTTGCCTTGGCCGGTGTGGCTCAATTGGTTGGCTGTCGTCTCATGCACCAAAAGGTTGCTGGTTCGATTGCCAGTCAGGGCACATGCCCGGGTAGTGGGCTCAATCCTTGGTTGGGGGCATTCAGGAGGCAGCTGAATGATGTTTCGCTCTCACATTGATGTTTCTGTCTGTCTCTCTGAAAATCTTTAAAAAAAATAAAGAGCATGGACTCTGGAGCCAGAGAACTTGGGTTCTCCTCACCGTGCAGCCTTACACAAGGCACTGCCTTTCTGTGCTTCTGTTTCCTTGTCTATAAATGGGGACTAAGGGTGGTACCTATCTCATCAGCGAAGATCAGATATAAGAAATTAAAGCTGTCTGGTACCAATAAGTGCTCAGTGAAGTTAGCTGTCATTGGTAGAAGTTGGGGGTTGATACGTAAAGAGAAGGGTCTTTTGTGCTTAATGCTTAAAAGGCTGTGAATAGTAGGTATTCAGTATATGAATAAGCAGTAGAATGTATGTGCTTGGTACTGTATGCATGAAGAGCTTGTATCAATAAAATGACTGAATTAATAGTAAGCATTCAATAAGACTACGCTAAATGAACGAAAGCCCTAAATGCTTGAGCAGATTTTAAAAGGCAATGAGTCCCCTCACTTTCT